AAGGCCCCCCGCGGGCGGCTGCCCTGCTCCAGCCCGCGCCCTCCGCCGGCCCCGCAGCTCTCCGGCGGGGTGGGGCCCCGGCGAGTCAGCGCCCGCCGGTTGCGCCTCCGACCTGTCCTGCGAAAGTGGAGAGCGGCGAAGAGAGGCTTGTTCTTGTACTGGGCTCCCCGCTGAGCAAAATCCTCCCTCCCGCCTTCAAGTGAACGGTGGGAGGCAGGGTATAAATTTACCAGATTAATCACCATTAGTATATCAATGTCAGAAAACGGTGTGTGTGGGTACGGGGGGGGGGTGTCGTTTGAATGCGGGAAAGGAGGTGTGACCTTGCGTATGAAATACAGATCCTTATCTTGTGCCTTTTTGCTCCCCTCATCGGTTTGTGACATGGAGATGGCCTTGGAAAAAAAAGCCTGATACTTTCAGATTTTACTTACACTCCTGTCTCATTTAAATGCGTCTGAGCGTGGTGGATGAATTTTGAATGAATGTCTTCTTTTTTTTTTAAATAGAGGAGGAAAATGAATAAAAAGAGGGCCAGCCGGAAAAGAAAAAGCTTTTAAGGAATTCCTTGTTTCTTGATTAAAGAGAAGGATAGGGGAGTGGCATGAAGGAGCATAATTTTACTGTTGTGATTTGAGGAGTAGGGACAGCCTTTTCAATCTCCACTTTTTTGGGGGGCAGTGAGCTGCATTGAGAAAGAATAAAGAGAGCCTGTAAGGTTTGGAGCACAACAGTTTATGAGTAGTGTTTTTTAAAAAAATAATATGTAGGAAGGAGGGAAGGATTGGAGATCTTACCTTGGATGATCCCCCAACCCTTTGCTTTGTATTGTTGTAAAGGAATTTCTTGGAGATTCTTCACTTTAGATTTTAAAAAATCTGTCCATATTCTAGAACATTTTTCCTTTCACACAGCTTTTCTACATTTTATCCAATCTTTTTCTTTCAGTCCTCCTTTTTAAAAATATTTAGAGAAGGAAGTTTCATGTATTGTCTCGTTTTTTTTATTTACAACACATTTTATGCTTAATGGTAAGCAATGCGAAACATTTTTAAAACCCAATAAATATTTCAAAACTCAATAGCTATTTGCATATTAATTCTTGGTTCAGGGGAAAAATTGAATTATTTATGTTCAAGATTGTCCAAAGGAGCTTGCCAAAGTATGGATTAATTATGTCATAATTGGAATATGGTGTAAGTAGCTAATCCACAATTAAAGCAAGCATTTAAAAATATTCTAACTTGAGTACAGGGACAAGAAAGTTGAGGAGAATATACCATGATCTATCAGGATTCCATGATCTATCAGGAGTTAGAAGTTAACATTTTGGAAATATCAGGAGAATTAGGTGGTATCAATGTTGACAGACACAACAGTCTATTTTTGTAAGTGTCAAAAATGAAGGTGCTGTTTGAAAACTTTAGTGATAGAATAGTTACTGCCTAATCTTGTAGCCATTGATTGAGAGGTAAGGCCCGCTAAGTTCAGCTAGATTAGTTACATATTAGTAATAATAAGTTAGAACCCTAGTCATTAATTAGCTTCATATGCCAGTAAAGATGATGGGGGATAAAATCATGATGATTTCCTAGATACTTTGTGTCTTATGGTAAAATGAAGCTTTGCTGTGGGCTTTTGAAGAGTTCTGCTCATTAAATTAGATATTGCAGGGAAAGCAAATGCATTCATAGAGCCTGTCTCAGTTTTAATTTGTTTAGGAAAGTCCGACTTGGAAAAGAAAACAAAAATACACAGCTCCTAGTAACTGTTAAAATAACTACATAGAATGGTTGGAGTAAAATGGTAAATTTCTTTGATGCTTCAGTGTACAGACTGATAGTGTAAACAGCAGCAGTTGGTGTACAGTAATTAAAAAATTCTGTCTGTTAACCATGTTAAGGCAGTGATTCAGAACATACTTGTTTGGAAGGAAGAGTAATTGAAATAGAACAATTTTGAAAAAAAAAATCCTTGGGATAAGATACTGAAATAATGGTGATTATGCAGAATCTACTTGATTGTCAAGGCATTTTAACAAGATTCACTGTTCTGTTTTGATTTGACATAGCTTAGCTTTTTGTGCAAACTCATTGAAATAACTGGGAAAATCATGTTTCTATATTAAATGTCACAGTACAAGAGTAAAAGTGGTTAATATACCCTACCATGTTTGCTATACTGTAATACCGGTAAGTTCTCTCTTGAATTGAGCACAAGTCTTAGTGATTACATGGATTATTGAAAAGAAGGCTAAAACAAATACGGGAAAAGAGCAGTAGCTGGCTAGACTGGACTATAACTCCTTTATGATAAGAAGCTGAATCAGGTGGGATACAGACATTGGTGAACTACAGTTTTTGTAATCTTTAACCATTTTTTATGCGGGAAATTGGAGACAAGTAACATTCAGAGGGGCACAAATGTACATTAGGAAAATAAAATAAGCTGTAATTCTGAAGGACATTTGATTGGAAAGCATAATCATTTAATTTATCCAGAGATTGGTTGTACTACAGTCCTAGTGTCGAAAAGATAAGGTAGTCCTTCAGATCATTATTGGCAAAAGCAGTACTGTAATCTTGGTTATCTTTAGTACATGATAAATTCTGAGTAATGTTTAGTCTACTTTCACTTTCTTTAGGATTCAGTATATTTTGTCAAGCATGGTAGAAGATAGCCCAAAAGCCAGAGAACATGACTTGTTTTTAAGGGCTCTCAGAAGTCTGTCTCAAATCTCTTGGCAGATGCTATTCAATTTTTTTTTAAGCAGCCATTACATTGAGGGCAAAACAAGGCTGAGATTTCAGAGCTGAAAGTAAAATTATTTATCACATTCTATTCAGTGTTTTTTGGGTATAAGGAGTATGTACAATCAAGTTATGAAATAAGGTATTGTCACTCTGGTTTCTGTGGTGTAAGAGCCATAAACCTCTACTTTTTTAAAAAATAATTTTTTTTAAAGAATCGAAGGCCATAGTAAAAATGTGGTGTTCCTGTCTGCGTGCTCTTCTTTTTCACCTGTGTTCCTTCGTTTCTTTGTTCACCTGTGTTTCCAATATAATATGTCCCTGTTTATTTATCCTTCAAAGAATATATTCATATGGCATTCTAAGTAGATGCATTTTAATTTTTTTATTGTAGCGATAAATAATTTCTAGAGCGGCAATTATATTTCTTCTCCCAGAAGTAGAATTAAATGTTATTGACTTTGCTGGAGCTCCCTGCCATATTTATGTTATGATTGTATCCTTGTTATTGTGGGTTAAAAGACTTTTGTAACTGCACTAGCAGTTTTATAGTTGGTTAGCTTACTTTGACATAGTCAAGGTTTGTTAGGGTACTCAATTATTTTATTACAAAGTTGATGCTTTGAGTAATTTTTGTTACCTAGCTTATCCATCCATTCCTATGCTAAATGTGTTAAAACTTTAAACTGCTTTGGAAATTTGGATGATGTGATAAATTCTTATATAAATAGTAAGCTTACATGCTTCTTAAATGTATTAGATAAGATATCCAGTTGACAGTTGGGTGAAATTATGGTAGACCTAGATTTATTTAATATCTGCAAAGCTTCCAAGATTTCATGAAGAAGTACAAAATCACCATTGCTGGTTCTTTGTCTAAAACTCAAGTGATGTTATACAGTACTGTAATGTAGCAATATATATAGAAATATAGTAAAGCTTTCAAATGTTATTGTGTGCATAATACAGTGTCAGCAAAAAAAGTAAATTTTCTCTTACAAGAAAAGGTTTGTTTACAGAGATAGAGGGTTGCCAGTCACATAAACCAAGAATTTCACTTAATGTTGTCAAATTTGGTGTCACTAATTTAGTTTATTAGATGCCAGTTAGAGAAAATCTCCTTGGATAATGTGATAAATTATAAGGATATCCAGAGTATCATCTCTTATTTCAGGTTTAAAATGTGTCCAATTAGCCTAAGTTCCTCAGTTTTGCCTGACTCTACTGTAATTTTCCTTACCTTTTCATAGATTAAGAAATTTGAACAAACATTAACTCTAGAATGCAGTGGGGTTAATCTCATGAAATTGGGTTCCTTTCCTGTTCTTGGCGTCTGCTCTGCCCAAAATGTATTCCTGGGGTACTGCATGTTCCTTGGGAACATACTGGAGAAAGCAGATAGAGGGAGGAAGTAATAGAAATGCAACCCTGCTCTTTAATATGCAGCTCCTGGATGTGGTCATACATTGGCATAGGATGAAGTATCATTAATAAATGAATGATACCCAGTTGTACATCTCTGTCTCTTGACAAATGATACAGTATAGACAGTGACTCAGTGACTTAGCTGGGGGTTGTTAGGGTCTGGATGGGGAGAAACAAACTTAACAGCACATCAATCTTAGCAACACAGAGTGGCTGTGGATATGGAGACCCTCTGACTCAAGAAAAGTACAGCCTTTATTTCTGGGCAGATTCACACCCTTTTAGACACATCTGGCTTGCAACTTGAGGGTTCTCTTGGACTTGCAGCTTCTGTT